CATTCATTCATTCATTCATTCATTCATTCATTCATTCATTCATTCATGCACACACATACATACATACATACATACAGACAGACAGACAGACAGACAGACATACATACATACATACATTCATACTTGCACACATACACACACATAGGCTCAAGGCCACGAGCTGCAGCCAACAAAGACCTGCTGGTGCGTATCCCCCAGGCGCACATAGCTGGGAGAATCACAGCAAGAAGGGCCCAACCCGAAGGACACCTACAAAACATTCTTTGCCCGCAATCCGCTCTTCACCATCCTCGCTTTGGCAGAGAATCACGGTGGCTGGCAATTGCTCGCCCTGGACATCAACCAGGTGATCCTTGTGAACTACCTCCCCACTCCTTCAGCCTTGCGGAGTATTTCTACTGCCACTTTGCCCGTGATCCCTACGAGATCCAGTACCTTCCAGGCCAGAACGAGGTCGGTGCCACAGCCATGCAGTGGGGACGAAACTACATGGTTTGCAAGAGCACCAAATGGATCTGGACAGATAAGGTCAGAGCAGGCACAAAGTGCCGCAGCACAGGCAAAGGAAAAGGTCAGGGACACGGACAACCACGAGACCACGGTCATGGCAAAACCCCCCGGCCACGCAGACAGTCAGGAGAGCAGCTTTTGGATTCGCCTCGCTGGGCTTCGGCCGCGCCACCAGATCCGTGTCCAGGCCTTGTCCTCCTCTTGTCCTCTGTGGCTGGGCTCTGCGTCCAGGCCTTGTCCTCCTCTTGTCCTCTGTGGCTGGGCTTTGTGGCTGGGCCTTGTCCTCCTCTTGTTCTTGTCCTCCTCCTCTGTGGCTGGGCTGTGTGTCCAGGCCTTGTCCTCCTCTTGTCCTCTTCTTGTCCTCCTCCTCTGTGGCTGGGCTGTGTGTCCGGGTCTTGTCCTCCTCTTGTCCTTGCCGTGGCCGCGCCCCTGAGCTCTGTGGCTCGCCTCTGTGGCCCGGCTTGCTGGAGAGGAGTGTGGCCGAACAAATGGCGATGTCAATGCCGACAAAAATTCATTGATGAAACAGGCTGCTCTTGGGGTGAAGCATTTCTTGACTAATATTGGTCTAAACGAATCGTTTTGAAACTGTTTGGGGCCTATGCTGGTGTAATTCTTTATGTATATATACACATACATATACACACCCATGTCTTGGCGGCTACACCACCTTGGAGATAACTCCTGTCAGATTTTAGGCATTCTACCGTATGAGGCTCGGAGCATCCGACCAAACAAAGTGGGCGCAAGCTCCCTGGCCACGATCTCTGGGGTTGGACGGTTAGGATCACGAGTTCCGACCAAAGATCTCTTCAATCTATGAGGTGGAGAGCACTTGCTGGGAAGTGGGTGTTGAGCTCGGAACCTCAGCCCTGATCAGGACTGACCATGAGATTGCTTGAATGATCATTGGGCGGCATCCGGACAAATCGTAGCTTGTTAGATGAACTGGATAGGAAATTCAGGGTGTCGAACGTGGGCAGAGAGAAGCCTAGAGCTGGTGCTTAGTAGAGAATGCCTGGGGAAATGGGTTCTAAGGTATCTATATATAGTGGAGGATCACTCCCGTCCCTCATTCCCTGCTAAACACCAGTCAGTTGTAGAAGTTTTGATGCGTTTTAGATGGTGGCCATGGTCAGGTCCTTGTCAACATGAGACCGACATGCGCAGCAGCTCACAACAGAGCTTTGAAGCTTCGTTGGGATGTGGTCCGATCCCTGGCTGAGAAAGGGACATCATGAAAAACATGGTTGCATGAAGAGGTGCTCATGGGTGTGGAAAACTCACCTTGGCATTCCTCAGCCATCTGGCTTACAAGCACGAATGTGAAAACTTCACTCAGGTTTAGTCAACTGAGAAGGGCCACTAACAAACCATCGAATTAGTCAGCCCGTATTGCCGTATTGCATCGGTCTAGGAGTCTATACAGGCTCCTCGGAAACTGCAAATGAGACTTTAGCATTGTTGGCAGTAGGGTCTATGAAACTTTGTTGCATAGACGCAGGGCAGGCATGGACATGAATAGAGGTTTGCTAAAGTTCGCCCTGACCTGAATAGTTTACAGTGGACCGGTGCTGCCATGGCACCCCGGCCGCTGGATGAGACCGTTCCCTTTCGAGGGCCTCCAGTAGGTCATTGCTTGGAGGAAGAGGACCGTTCCCTTCGCGCTGTGTCTGAGACACTCCAAGGCACAGAGGGAAACCATCACAGTTCCGGATGTTTATTTTTCTTTTTTCGTGGCCCGCTCTTAATGAAGTAGACGGCTACTTAGGTAAGGGCAGGCCGTCACTACCTACTGGACATTACCGGACGCAGGATAGCTCACAAGAAACTTGATGGCAATAGGGAGTTGGCACATTGCCATCTTCCAATATGACTACGGCCAATTGTCATGCCAAGTGCTTATATATATATAACATATAGAAAAAACACACACATATATATATATATATGCAGTATATCTCTCTATCTATCTATTGCCTATTGCAGGAAGAAGCCTCAGACACTTGCTGTGATGCCGAGGCTGGAAACAAGTTACATCCATTCAGCCAGGTTCAGCATGTTTTTTTCCACCAATCCTCTCTCCAAGGAGTCGCAGCAGCTGGACGACGACGAACCCGTTGCGCTTCAAGTGCTCCGAGGCAGCGCTTCCAAACTGCCAAGGTCCCTAAGGTCCCATCAAGCAATGGTCAGCGACGCTAAGTACTTTCGTCAGAATGCACCTTTGATTTGGCCGAATGTGTTCGCTTCAGTGTGAACGGTGCAAGCATTGTCATATGCTCGCCGCCCGAAGTTGTGGCCTGGCTCAAGCCCAGCTGGCTGCAAAGTGTTGTGACAGGTGTGGTCACGGCTACACCCTTGGCCAGATGGGAGGATGCTTATGCGTAGAAGGGGCCGTGTGCCCTGCCACTGAGTTCACCTACATTGAAGAGATCTATGGTCCGTACAACCCTCTCCCCCATCAAGATCATCAACACGAAATTCCGGCCCAGCTCCCCAATTTGCTCAACAGACAAGGCGCTTCTCCAGAGGAGACGGAGGAAGACAAGCTCAAGGAACCTTTGAAAGAGCAGGAGGCCGTAGATGATGCAGTGGCTCAGCGTCAGAACGAGGAGGCGTTGAAAGAGCAGGAATATCAAAGAAAGCGCCGGGAACGTGAGGCCAAGCTTGCCATGGAATTGGAGGCCAAGAAGGAGAAGGTGGCACAGGTTTGGACTGAGATGTGCGAGGTCCTGGAGAAGAATGCCCAAGAGGTCACCATGCAAGAGGGCTTGACTGCTGCCAGGCTCAAGCGCCAGACACCGCCTGTTGAGAAATCTGAAGATCGACCCCGACGAGTTCAGCGGCGCCGGTGCCGGACCCCACGCTGCAGTGAACTGAGGGGCTCCTTGGATTTGACCCTGCCACATGTCCGCGGGCGAAGCCCTTCGCAGCGTGCCAGACCCGTGTGAGCGAGTTTCACCAAAAACAGGTAAACAGGAAGCTTTGAGCAATTCGTTAGCTTGCTTACTTTGTGGTATTCCGTATTCCAAGTCAACTCTTGTCCTTGGCCCCACGCCAAGGCCACACGTTTTGTACAAAAAGACACGCACATCCTTATACACTTTTAACCTGCCAGGTCACCGACAAGTCTTGGAAACGGTAGTGGATAGCACCACCACTGTGGAGCAGCTGAAGGTTCAGGTGGAACAAACTACTGGGATCCCAGGACAGGAATCGCCGAAATGCTATATAGTAGGCCCGATCGGCTTTTTGGTTGACGCCGTTGTCTTTGATTGGCAGGAGAGCGTCAGATCATTGCTTTGAAGGGGAAGCCTCTTTGCAATTCATTAGCCCCTCGGAGAGAGCCTGGCTATTGCCGGAGTCAACTGAGTTAGTTGCTAGAAAAGAGAAGAAACACCGAACATATGGGCACCTCTAATAAGGCGCCCTTTAAAAGGGGCCTCATCCTAGGAACTCTTACACTGGTTGCCTTCGTTAACACGTCTTTACTAAGCATGTCAGCATGTCATATGCACCGACTCAGAGGCAGACAGACACCGACAAACCAAGGCACTCCGCAGCTCTTTGAATCGCCTAGTCTCCACGGTCACGGTGAGGGAAGCAGATCAGTCGTGGGTCAAGACCCTGGAGGACCGTGGCGGACCGTGGGACTGCGTGGTGCATTCGTAGTTTCCTTGGATCGCTGAGCAAGGAGTCTTAAGAATTCAACGAAAAATGCACAGCAACCCAACAAGGATGTGGATAATATGGCAGGTCATCTAGGACATTTTACATAATATGCTAAGATAGAGAAGTACCTCATAATGCAGAAACAAAAAGCTACTAGGAACAAGGGCATTGCTACTAGGGGCCCTGGCCTTACTAGCAAGGACGCTACTAGTAAGAAAGGGAATCGCTACTAGAAGCAAGGACGCTACTAGGGGCTCCTGGCCTTACTACTAGGAACAAGACGCTACTAGTAACAAAGGGCACTGCTGAGCAAGGGCTCCTGAAGCAGGATCTCCAAAACTCCGAAGCCTTGAAGGCTGAGGCCTCCATTGTTGGGACGGAGGCGCAGTGCGAGGCAGCACTCAAGGATGCGAAAGTCATGTGCTTCGGCGCACTGAGTGGATCTGAGTGGAGAGGAGATGGAGGAAGTTTCAGGATGTGGAACATAAATAGCATCCCAGGTTTTAGCGTTGATTACGCAAGCTTGCAGCTTCATGAAGGCCACTTACCGGTCATGTGCACCAGAGAACACAGCTTGTCCAAGGATGGAAGAACTTCGGCAAACTGCCGCAGAAACGTCCCCTGGCGGCAGATGCATTGTTCAAGAGATGTTAGAGATTGGCGCTCCGGAACAGCCATGACAAACTTGCAACAGACACATATTTAGCACGTAAACAATCCTTGTGTTGCAGTGAGGGTTGTGACGGATGCATGGGAGACACAAAGCACATGAATCACGTGTTGTGAAACTAGGTGAGAGAGTAGGTGAGACTATAAGTATGCCTAAGTATGCTATTGGTGGACAATATACAAAAGGCCATCAATGTGCTCTTCACACCCAAGAAGACCGTTGCTTACATCGTCATTTCGACAATGCGGGTCACTGGGGTCTTCTGTTTCAACTATTATGCCAAGCGCCTAACTGTGGACTTAGGATTTCTCAGTTCAAGCAGGCCACGGCAGCCGTTCGCGGCCTAGCACACTGTAGGAAGGTGTTGCAACTAGGACCGCTTCCTTAACTTGAGGTCCAGGATCCAGCCATACATAGGCCTTGACTTGAGGGGTGCAGAGACACCTACATCCAGTACAAAAGAGAGATGAAACTATCATCCATCAGATGTGTCAGTGCAGTCTTCACGGCTCACTTCTAGTGCAGTTTGCAACCAACACGTGCAGCTCAACCATGCATCTGCGCTCAGTTGGTCACCAGCGCCAGCGACTTGGAAGAGGCGGCGGAGCGCTTGCAGCGAAACCGCGCCGTGATTTTCGAGGCGGGTCGAGCAGCCAGGTCCTCGACATTCTTCGGCTTGACGAGTCGTTACTACAAATCAAAAGTGCCTTGAAAGATCTTGAAAGGGGGTTCGCTCCGAACCTTGTTTGACTTGACCCCACCAAACAGGGAAGTGGACAATCACCTTGTTTATCGTAAGATATCGTAAGATGGGCCAGTGTTCATTTCCATGCCAAACGAGCAAACACAGCCATGAAAAGCAACGCTTAGAAGTCGAGACAAACATGCCAACTGGTTCCAGGACTTGTTCAGGTCGGAGCGCAAACGAAGAAACAATCCTTCCAGGTTGTGCCCAGAGGCTCCAAAGGAGCACGTCGCGCTGCAGAGGATGGATACTGCAGTTGATGGGATGGAATTCCTGTCTCAAGCATAAGTTAAGTATGGGCATCATTGGGCATCCCTTTGCAGCGTGCATTCTCAGATCATGAGTCAGCCTCGTGTCCAGGACCTTATGCAATGTCGAAGCTCATTGCTGGCCGCCACACAAGCCAACGGCAAAGTCCTGGCGGCCCGCAGTTTCAGCCTTGGTGCTGGGGTCCACTTCTGTCAAAGGCATTGCCCCAACAGAGGCCATCTTGTTCTCCAGAGTAGCTGCACTCCCCCACTGTTCAGCGCCCTCAAAGGGATGTATTGATGGATGTAATCAGCTTTCACTGTGTGGCTTTCGTGTAGAGATTGATAGAGATGATCTCGCTGTCAAGGTTCTTGTGTGAGCTCCGTGCACAACTCGTGCACGACGCAGCTGTTGATGACCCGTGCATCAATACGTCACGCCAGCGAGTGCCTGTCGCGACGAATTGAGCTGCTGCACATGCAGAGGCAAACCAAATTGAGCGAGGTTTCCTGGATTCCAGGCTTACTTTGGGCTTTGGAATGATGAGCGTGGTGCTGTTGTGAGACGCTGTTTTGGTGTGAGAGGCTTGGCAGCTTGCTCAGCAACGCAGATGTGCAGCTGAAGCTGCAGCGGTGCCAGGATGATTTGATTTGCCTCCGGGAAGTTGGCTTAGAAAGGCTCAGCCAGGAGTGACCGCCAGCGGTGGAATGCATGGTGTTTGTGGATCAACACCTGTTCTCGGAAGGAGCAGTCCGAGCAGGTGTTTCAACATGCTTTAGAGTAGTATATAGTGGCAGTCGTTGTCGTCGTCGTCACATG